CTTGCAGTTTATCAAAATGCCACTCTTTCATCTCCCCATATGCCTTCACACATACAGAATCTTCTACTGAGACTGTCTTTTCAATCTCTTTTTTTGGCTAATTCCTACTCATCTTTAAAAATCTCAGCTCAGATACTTTCCAAAAAGCAATCCCTAATAATCTCCCATTTTCAACTCAAGTCTGTGTGAGGTGAGAATCCAATATGCCCTCGTAGCAACATGTGTCTAATTATTATAACATTATTATATTGTAAACACTAATTTTTGTGTCTTTCCAATAGTTGTGTATGTGTGTGTGTGTGTGTGTGTGTGTGTACATGCGATATTTTTTTGCAGAATTCACATGTGCTACCCTGAAGGCTCCACCACAATCTCTGCAGGGGTGGGGGGTATGTGTCAAATTGAAAAGTTACCCAGGTGATTCTCATCTGATTCTTCCCTGTTGAGAGGGACAGCCACCATCAGGGAGAGACAGCCCCTGCACCTAGCACAGAACTTGGCACATCATAGGTGACCATTCATTACATATTGGATGATGCTGAAGTGAAAAGTCTGTTTTCCTTTCAGTAGATAGTGAGTAGACATTTAACATTTGTGAGTAGGCGCTCAGCATAATTGGAGGAATGCATTAAGAAACTGATGTGTGGATTAGGTTGGAGGAGAAAGACAGAGATTACATATGTCATGCTGAATCCTGGATAAAAGGTTGCAGAGATTGCAAAGGATATGGGACTACTGGTAAAACTGCCCAGAATAACCTTCAGACACCAGCCAGAAGCACAGATAGTCTTTAAATGAGGCCCTGGGGAAAGGACCTAGAAGGTCATCTCCAGGCTAGAGAGTGGCATAACTGCCCTGTGTTCTGCCTGACAAGGCCAGGCCAGTTCTGGATATGGGGATCCAGATTGGAGTGCATCAGGGAGTATGAGTGTGGGAGAACTGTTCCTAGGCCCAATTTAATCTGGAGTAGGACTGTCCACAGGAGGGGGACCACTCTAGAACACATTCAATTCCTGACTGAACTACTCCCAGACTGATTCTAATGCATGGTATCAACAACTGAGTCCTATGCAAGAGTGAATATACCATCACATCCCACAGCACTTATTCAGTCAGAATTTTGGAAAAGGTGAAACTGCCTTTCAGGCTTTATTTATTTCTGCCGATTTATTTTGTCTGGTAACAGCGTGCATTTAGAAAATGCTTGTCCTTCATTTTCCAATCTCCTTTTAGCCTTTGTCAGTAGCCTCGCAGGCTCTCCACAGGTGGTTCCATTTGTAATCCATTTGACACAGCAAGACTATCATAATTAATGAAGCTCCCTACAGCACTGCCAGTGACCCAGAATGCAGGACAAGAGGGGCACTGAAGCTATGGAAGGAACAGCGGGCTGAGAGCGGGAGACCTGGACGTTGTCCGGAGCCCGTGTGAACCTCAGCAGAACCAGTGTGACTTGCTCTTCTGCACACTTCTTTGTCTCCAGCCTTAAACTGGAAGGACAGAGAAGAAGGGTCCTGTCTAAAATGCAGGCATAATCACTAACCATTCAAATTCCTGCCCTTGGCCACCATCCTTTCTTTTCCACTGAAAATGAGTTAAAGTAAACTGTTAAGTTTTGATTGTAGGGGAAGATATGATTAAATGTTTAAATGCTGAAATAAACAGGGAACAGATTCTGAGTTGAGGACTGAGATGGAGCCTGGGATATAGGGGAATCTGAGCTCCAGGATTTTCATATGGTCAGGGTTTGAAGTAGTTAAAACAGGGACCAGGAGTGGTATCTTTTCCCTTTTTTCTCTGTTTCAAACACACATGTAAATGGAATAAAAAGAAAAAGGAAATAAGAAGCCAGAAAGAAAACAGATGGCTTTCTATAATGGTTTTCATCCAGTTAGAATGATGTTTTGACAATAAGGTCCTAGAGAAAAAAACTAGAATAATTTTTTTCCACATTTCACCCCACACCATTTCCTGCAGATATTATCCTAGACATGTATAAAAAACAAATCGCCTGAAAAGAATTCCTGGAAGGTCATGGGGAATCCTCTATGGTCTATCTCAGTATTTGTAGTTAGAGAGAGAAATCTGGATGACTTATTTATTAAAATGGTGCCTTACGCATCTGTCAAAAAATGTTCCCAGAGGGACCCCTAGAGACCTGCTCTCCTGCCCTCAGGCCCTCTCTGGAGCTTCCAGCACAGGGTCACATCCCCCTCCACAGTGGTCAGCTGCCAGTGACAGCATGCTGTGAGTGCATGTTAAACATACACAGAACAGAAATGTATCTTCACATGCTAAGCGTTCCCACTTCTCCCTGTGACAAAGAAACCCGAATTCCCCACAATCTTTCACCTCAATTATTTTATTATTAAAATCCTACTACACCATTTCTTTCAGAATAAGTCCTTCCATCTCCTTGCTTTTTCCTTTTCATTTTCCAGGGGATCTAGGGTTCAAGTCCTGGTTAATCATTTATTAGTATCAACCTTTAATTATTATTATTATATTTTTAAAATGCATTTAAAATTCTAATTATTTTTTTCTGTTTATAAAAGTAATACAAAGTTATACAAAATATTGATAGCATACATTTTATGATTATAAAAATGACCTGAATATATAAAATAAAATTTCTGATTTTCCATTAATGCACAGTTCAGAAACTGCTGGATAAATTATCATTAAATGTGGAAGGAATGTTTAGGATGGTTTGATTTAAAAGACAGGTTACATGGCTTCCATGAAATTCAGACCGGGGTCTCTGGGCACTTCATCCTCCTGCACAGCCGAATGTCAGGTACAGCAAGAGGCCTGTGTGCTGTTGATATGGGAGACTTGCCAAATCTATTAAGACACTAAGGATATCTTCAGACACAAGCTTCAAATCTTCAGTCCCAGGGGCCAGTGCTCTGACCTGCAGGCTCACACCCAGCCTCTCATGGACAAGACACATAGTTGGCCACAGAGTGAGTGGTAGCAGGGATTGTTCTATTTGATGGTGACTTGGGGTTCTCCTGAGCAAAGTTTGGTGGACCAGTTGGTAAATAATAATAATTACAGTAACAATGATAATAATGACAATAAAGCATGTGTCAAGTGTTTGCTCTCTGTAAGGTTGGTAGGAGGCATATGACACATTGCTTCATGCAGTCCTCACAACAGTGCTCTGAAGTAGGTGGTGCTATTACCCCCTTTTCAGGGATGAGAACATTGAAATTCCCAGAAGTTAAACAACGTGCTTCAGGGTGCAATGCTGTAAGTGGCAGGGCCAGCATTTGAACCCAAGGCTAGCCTTAATCCAAAGCCCTTGGTCCCAAACACCATGCTTGTGTCTGGCAACAATCTTCCATGTTGTGCCCAGAGCAATCTCTCAGCACTACAACATGTTGTCCACTTTCTTGAAATACTACAAGACACTATATCCATGGCTCAAGCCAGTTGGCCTTGGTGAAGCAGACCCTTTAAGGGGAGCTTTGAGTTACCTGACGGGCTGCACCACCCACCTGTTATATTCTGACCCCGGCTCCTGCACAGCTCTGGCCATGCTACTCCTCAGCCTCTTCGTCTGGTGTTCTCACTTCCACCTCTCCACCTTCTGCCAAGCTGCTCCCTGAGCCAAGAGGCACTGCAGCTCCACTGCCAAGTCCTCCTCCTCCTCCTCGCTCCCAGGCAAGCAGCAAACTGTCCTCCCTCCCGCCCAGGCTTTGCTCAGTAGAGATGAGGAGTTTCTTTCTTGCCTCTAAAAAGCCTTTCCCCACCCTTTATGTACCACTCTCTGAAGCCAGTGCTTCAACCACGGCTGCTCTAGCCATCTATGCTTAATTGTTGGTCCTTTGTGTACATCTTCAGTCCCTGAGGCTGCAAAGATGGGTGCAGATTTCACAAACATTTATTGTTCATGGCAAGTGTTATTCTGCTATGCCCCAGGCTCTGGCCACTGGGGATGCAGTGGTTAACAAAAGCAGACAGAGGCCCTTCCTGTATGCCAGTGAGTGTCTCCCTTCCATTCCTGTGTTATGGTTTATACTTCCATAGGATAGCTTTGGAGATGGACTACCTGAGTTCACATCCCATAGTTCACACAGTGTTTCTATTTACAGTCTGTGTGACCTTGGCCAAGTTAGTTAACCTCTCTGTGCCTCGGTTTCCTATAGATTAGGAAACACTAATAGCGCTTCCCTCAAAGTTATTATTACAATAGTCCCCCCTTACCTGCAGCTTCAGTTACCTGAGGTCGACCCCAGTCTAACAATAGGTGAGCACAGAACAAGAAGACATTTTGAGAGAGAGACCACATTCACATAACTTTTATTAAAGTATATCATTATAATCGCTCCATTTTGTTATTGTTGGTGCTTATCTCTTATGGTGTCTAATTTATAAATAAAACTTTATCATAGGTATGTATGTACAAGAAAAAACATAATATATATAGGATCCTCGGTTCCAGGCATCCACTGAGGGTCTTGGAACATATCCCCTGAGGATAAGGGGAGGACTAAATAGAATTAAATAAGTTAATACAGTCAATATATGTAAAGTATTTAGGACAGTGGCACACTGCAAGTTCTCAAAATAATTGTTACTATTACTATTTTTTTTTAGATAATTAAATATGTAGATGGCAGGGATCTTTCTTTAGAAGTTCTCTTAAGTTTTCCTCCACTAGGCTGTAAATTTCTTGAAGGCAAGGGCCAAGTTTTGAGTCATTTTGTGTTTGCCACACCAGTGTAGTTCTTTCCACGTGTGTGACAGGGCTGGTGGAGGAGGAGTCTGTTTTGAGGTCAGAGTGTACTGGCACCCTCCCCCACCCAACCACAGAGCAAAACGGTTCACCTACGAGAGTCCCATCTCACCAGGACTTCTCGAGGAAAGACAAATGTATGCTCAATGTCTTCTATTTTTTGTGTAAAATGCTTGCTTTTATTTCTCAAGAAACAAGTCCCAAGGTTGTCATATTAAAGACATTCTCTGCCTCAAAGGGAAATGATAAGACTCACCTTGATTTTTCAATGGTAAAGGCATAGTTTCCCTGAGTTTGCTTAAAAGATTTTTCATTTCTCGCATGTCTCTGTAAAATTGATAAAAAGAGAGAATAATCAGCTATAAATTTTCAAAATGAAATTCTCAAACAGTCTGTTCTATGAGACAACTGAAGGACGAGAGTCTTTGCCTAACTGTACTAGCTCTACTTTCCAGTAGGCAAATATTGAATTTATTTTGCTTTTATAAGAAAAAAAGTCTGAGCTTAGTTGCTCTGGAAGGAATGAGAACTACTCTGCCAAACATTTCCGTGGGGCATTGTCCTGCAGGAGCCCTCATCTCTGCCTCCAATTGGACCTGGCTGAGATCAGAGAAAAGCCTTTGGTAATGAGGACGGGACTTTGACCCTGGGCAAAGCTGAGGCTGGGTGATGTTGCTATCAAGGCTTTATGGTCAGATGGCCGTGGTGGTTGGATAGGTTCACTTGCTGTTGTTTTTTTGTTTTTAAAAGTCTCTCATTACCATGATTGGAATTCAGTGTAACACAGGTGTTAAGCATTCATGAGGACCAACACTTATTACACTGACTTGGAATGATGGCAGAGTCTAACAAATTCTAAAACTTCTGGAGAAGAGCTCTTTAAATGGATGAGAGAGAGAGAGAGAGAGAAAGAGAGAGAGAGAGAGAGAGAGAACCACCTGGAGACAGCTGGGCTTTCCTCTAGCCACTGGCCTGTCCTTTCAATCTTCCTGGCTCTTCAGCCCACGGCACGCACACACCCAAAATCCGCACTCATTTCAGAGTGCGTGTGATCATAAAACCCCAGAACTGGACAGCAGGAAGCCATCCCAGGGAGTTCTAGGGTAGGGTAGGGGGAGAGCTGGCCTTTTCAAACCCTTAGGACAGTGGTTCCCGCACACGTCTAGGTGGCTGTGCACTGCAGTCAGTGCTTCTGAAACCCCACAGCCTACAGGTAGATTTCATTTAAAATAGCCAAAAATATAATTTGGTGCAAAAACCAGACATGTCTTTTAGTTAACATTAGAATAGGCAAGGACTAGTGGGTACCACACGTTGAAGAAAGTTTTTTGGGGGAAGATAATCCTAAAGTGAGAAAATTCTTCCAGTAACTTACTTTTCTTCTGGCATTTGAGTAAAGAGAGTCATCTTCTAATTTTAGGTATGAAACCCCTCAGTCCACTTCCCGAACACCACTGTTCTGTTGGGCACAGAGAAAATTCTTCCAGTAACTTACTTTTCTTCTGGCATTTGAGTAAAGAGAGTCATCATCTAATTTTAGGTATGAAACCCCTCAGTCCACTTCCCGAACACCACTGTTCTGTTGGGCACAGTTGGAGGACCACTGTCCTCCTCCTCAAGTACTGACTAATACATGAAAAGGAACTCAGGACTCAGGAAGAGCTGATTGGCAAAGGAGGGGAAAGCAGCCTTGCAGATCTGTAGAAACACACCTGCAAAAACATTCTGAGTCCTTTCCCATGGGTGTGAGGTGTGTGGGTGTCTGTGGGCACTGCATGCTGCTAAGTTGGGGGGAGGGCAGGAGAAAGAAGCAGGCCCTTCCTTCCAGAAGCACCGGGCACATTCTGTTTTCACGTAAGATCTCAAGGGCAGATGGGGGCCGGGAAGGGGGGAATGGCTAGGAATGCAACACATGTAGTTGGGGCAGTGTCCCCGTAAAGTGCCAATTCTCAATTTTGGCCACTGCACAGGAGAATCACCTTATGCCCAGGTCCCACCCCCAAGAGAGCCTGATTCATTTGGCTTTGGGTGGAAACCAAGTATCAATGTTTTTAAAAAGCCCTCCTGGTGACTTAAATGTGCAGCTGAGTTTGAGATCCACTGATCTGTCAGGGCAGAGAGCCACAGAAATCTGAGGAAGCCACGTCCCGGACCAGGTCTTCTGTGCCTACCTTCCTCGGTCTTTCCCATCTCCTTTGATCAGAATCTGGCCTTTCAGGCTGAAATGAAACCCTGCCAACACTGTGGGCTGCACTGTCCTATTCTTATTACCATCCATAGCTTGCTTGCTTACAAGCTTACAAGCCTTGGATATAGCTGCTGTGCAAGGTGTCTGAAAAGGAAAATGGCTTTACTGACGGTTTATGCCCTGACTATGGCATTCCGGCAGATATTTTTTCCCTGGGAACAGAGAAAATAATTTTCTATTTTATAAATTAAGATAAATCACTCCCTCTTCATTTGTCTATAGTTCTATCAAACTGTGCCAAACAGCTTTATTGTTTGAATTGTTGAATTTCCAAGCTTATACAAAATCCAAGTTTTATTAATAGCACATAATTACCACATGCTCCCATTTTCTATAAACACAGAAATTTGGTAATTAGCTTTAGAATTATATTACAATCTGAAAGTAGAACCACAATGGCTATAAATGCCATTGTGTGTTACATTTCTAAAAATAAGAAAATAAAATGTTCTTTATCTTGCCAATGACTCAACCCCATACACACAGAACACTCACTGGAATTGCCCGGTATTCATTCATCTGCTTTGTGCCAGCTCTGGGGACATTAGTGGCAAAGGGCACAGATAGTGTGAAGCCCAATAAATAAAGGACTCATCTTTCTGCCTTACAGAATGGCATTTTTAGCATCTAGATGTGACACAGCACTTATTATTACATTATCATTGCTCCTTTTCCCTAAATGAAATAGAATCACTGTAAAATTGCTTCTTCCTAGGAAAGAAACTTCCTCTCTAGAAGTGAGCTGCTGAAGTTAGGACAGTGCATTAACTCGCTTTGACCACTAAGGGGCCATCAACTACATTCTGGGAGAATAAAAGAAGGGGCTCTGCAAAAAGCCCTTTGTGAATGGGGTAGAATGAATGCTCAGCTCCCGACTGGCAGCTAAGCACTTCATTCCATATACCTGAAATCTGAGAATTTGCTGGAGGCATCTTTGTATGATTTTGGATTCTTCTCCCTTAAACAAATGGAAAATTTGGGAACCAGCCTAGTGGGTGAACTGTGATAGTATGTAGATCCCACTTTCTCCCTTCCAAGGAAGCCTTGTTTTCAGTTTCCATGGAGATGCATGTGTCAGAGGGGGACAGGCAGAGGCCTGGGAGCCTGGGCCTGCTATAGGTCCTGCTACCATCCCCTGTAGGAATTGGACTACTTTCTCTCATCTCAGCTTTCTTATCTACATATTAGGCAGTTTCCAAGGTCCCCTGCCAGCACTATATTTCTCTGGCAGACCAAAGAGATCTCTTTCTGAAACTGAAAGAGAAAACCTCAACTCTCTGTGCCCCTAAGAGCATTAACTGGAGGAGGATCGGCCGTCTATGCAGGGTAACTTCCCACTTACCTTTCAGTGTTCTCAATGTCTGTGGAAACCTGCCAGGAATGTTGCTGACTATCTACAGGGGATGACAAGGAGTCCTCGAGGGCAGGTGTTTCAGCACACTCCTCAATTTTGCAATCCAAATTCTTGGTTCCTCCACCAGGTTCCTTTCCTAAGGGAGAGGGGGTGTTGATAAAGAGAAAGGGATAAGAAATCATAAATGCAAGTTCTGTATCCAGGATGTCATTGCAAAGGCTAGCTATGCTTCAAGTCATATGCTCCATCAACACTAATAACTTTCTTAGTAATAAAATAATTATATATGTGTATAGACATATGTGTGCATGCATGTGTGTGTTCGTAGCACGTTTTCACAGCATTTTGGGAAGAATAGCTTGAGGTCAATACAACCTAAATATCAAGATAAAATTAAGGCCCCTGTCTGATGGAGCATTGGTGCTTTGTAGCCCATTCTTAGTGAGTTGATGATCAAGTTCTCTTGGGAGGAGGTATTTAGCCTATAAAATGGTGCTGTTTTTTGATCTTCAGATGCAGGGCCAGGTAAAGGGCCAGGAGCAGGTGACACCCAGCAGGAAGAATGGGAGCTCCTGCTGTTCTCTCTGATTCTGGACCCTGGCTCTCTCGACCTGCAGCAGAGATTGTGGATCTGCCTTAGAATTGCTTGGCTCTTCAACCTCTAGCACATCCTTCTGTGAGGAGACAGCTTGACCTTATAATCCAGCTTTACTCTGCTGGGACCATAAAGTACCACCAATTAAAGCGAGTGGTCCTGTACAGCATCCACAGCAATGCACTTCCAATCCACTAACACTTGTATTTACCATGACTGATTTCAAGTGAATAAATCACTGCTTTCTGGAAAAAAAATCTCTAAATTGGATCATCCATAAATGTATATAAAATTAAGTGGGAAGTTATAATCTGTGGCCTAGATATAGTCTGTTATGTCTTTTATTCTGCCTTGAAAATCTGTACATCCACAGAGGTTTATCCTGGTACCATGGAAATGGCCTACAGGGTTGAGAACTGGGTTTTAAACCTGGCTTTGTTATTCGTTCATTCACTCACTCATTCTCTCATTCACTTACAAATATTTCTTGAGTGTCAGCTAAGTACCAAGCACTGGGCTTGATGCTAGAGATAATATAGTTGGAAGAAAGACACAATGTCTCTTTCATGGAGCTTAAAGTGCTGGAGATAGACAATAAAAAAAAATTATACAAATCATTACAAAGCTGTTGTATAACTTTATGTATTCTGAAAAAAGGATAACTATATCATGTCTTTTACTCTTTCATCCAGTTTTGTTTTTATTATGTAGATACAGCTCTAGAATAGAAAGACACAATGTCTCTTTCATGGAGCTTAAAGTGCTGGAGATAGACAATAAAAAAAAAATTATACAAATCATTACAAAGCTGTTGTATAACTTTATGTATTCTGAAAAAAGGATAACTATATCATGTCTTTTACTCTTTCATCCAGTTTTGTTTTTATTATGTAGATACAGCTCTAGATTATACAAATCATTACAAAGCTGTTGTATAACTTTATGTATTCTGAAAAAAGGATAGCTATATCATGTCTTTTACTCTTTCATCCAGTTTTGTTTTTATTATGTAGATACAGCTCTAGAATTGTTAAGGAATTGTTATAGCCCACCCATATCATTGAGTATTCATGAGAGAGCAGTTACACCATCTCACCTCATAGTTCAGTTTCCCTAATCCTGATGTGATTGTTTTACATTAAAAAAAAACAAAAACAAATAAAACGTAAAACAAACAAACTTGTGAAGGGGATGGCTGTTCATGGTAAAATCTAACAGGAAGCTTTTCCTTGAATTCCTCATCTGGCGGGAACTAGCGAAAGTCTCATCCCTGCAGTTTCTAACCCATTATGGTAGGAACACAAGGAGAAAGAGACAAGTAATTAAATGGAACTGTACACCTTTCATCAAGCTATAGCAGAAATGGACCTCTGAACTTTCAGCTGAAGCACAAACACAAGTTTACTGATGAAAAATTTTGATCTTTTCCTGTGTACTTTATGCACATTGATCGTGGGTGATGGAACTTGCCTGAGGAATTGTTTTTCCAATTTTATGGTATGCTGTCAGGTAGAAATTAATTAAGCACATAATTTAGCATATTATCATTTCACAGTTGGAGGGCATTGACCTCTTAAAAGCATTTGCATTTCTCCTCCCAGTAGAGTGCAGCAAAGGTAGTCATTTCATTTGCCACCCACCTCTGGGCAGGGTCAGCCTTAGGATGTGAGTTGGAAATCTGGAAGAGGGGCAAAAGGGGGGCATCAAACAATAGCCCTCTGCTTTTCACAACCCTGAAGGGTAGGGCCAGCTGAAAACATAGGTGGCCTGTTACACTCCTGTGGGTTTGAAATGCCTTGGCGAATGGAGTATGGTTTGGGCAGCAAAGGAGGGGAAGAAGAGTTACATTGACAGAATTCTCTGGTTTATGAGCTTTGCCTGACTTTAGGACCAAAGTATCCCCTGTCCTGTGGTCAGGACTACAGAGCCTGAAGCTTTCATTCCAATGGGGACAGGGGAGGACACAAGGAAGTGTGATGTCCCTCCTCGGAGTCTCCTCTTGGCCTCCCTAATATGTGCACCTTTTACCTGCAAAGGCATAAATAGAATCCAGTCGACACCACCTTTGATTGCACTAACTGCCTGTGATTATTTTACTACTTATATAAGACAAATACCATTCCATAACTTTTTCAAAGTAAAATATCTCTTCAAAAACATTTTTTAAACACTCCTATGAGCTTGTTAATGGCAGGTGATATTCTCCTTTCCTTCATTTTCAGTGACTTCTAGATCTAATTCTGCTAATGTGGCTGAACCAGAATGAAAACCTTGGATTTTGGATCTATAGTTTAGGGCTTTCTGTCAGCTCACAAAATCTCTACAGAATTTTGATATTGTACTTTCTCTGGCTGAAACATCTTTAAAAGAAAAGATCAATATGAATTTAAGCTGTTTTCAATTCCAGAACGTATATGGTGTCAAGTGGACTCTGCAAGTGGATTGTAATTGCTCTCATTTATTGAAGGCACTGACTTTATGCTAGGCATCCTTTGCCACCATATTACCTGTTTATTTATTTATTTTTATTTTAAAAATTTATTTATTTATTATTATTATTATTTTTACATTCTAAGATGTTGTTGAGGAGTAGTTGGGGGAGAGGGAGGGAAGGGGGATAGGTTGGGAGGAAAAGGGAGGAGGGAGAAGGGGGCATGGTCGAGGCCTGTGTCAACCCCCTCATTCCAGCAGGGGAGCCCAGGGGGCTTCTGGCGATGGCTCAGTTGTGGCTGGGCTGGATGCAAACACATTACCTGTTTATTGCCTTCATAGAATTTATCACTATCAGAAATTGTCTTGCTTATGTATTTGCTTACTAGTTCATTGCTTTCCTTCCCCAGTTCCACCCTCATCTCCCATCTCCAAACTATGTATGTAAACTCTTTAAGGCCCACACAGTAGGATGTCAACAGAGATATAGCACTAAAAATAAAAAAAGGAATCATACTATGTGTGTTGTTATATAACTTGCTTTGCTATTTTGTATGGCTTAGACATATTTTCATGTTAGTGCATTTTGATTTATGGCATGCTTTCTAATGGCTGGTTAGTATTCCATAGTAAGGAATTTAGATTGTAATTGCTCCATTTTTCCATAATATGTCAATATTTTTAAAGGACAGATCCTTTGAGGCAGAATACTGGGACAAGGTGTGTATGTCCACATTTTATATTTTAATATATATTGCCAAATTGGTCTCTGAAAAAGCTATTTACACTTCACTCCACAACAGTAAACCAGAGGATCCGTTTCCTCGCACTCTTGCCAGCATTTCATATTACCAATATTTAATTTTTGTTAATCTAATGGGGGATAATAAAATCTGACTGCACTTTTATTTTCCATTTCCTTTATTACTACTGAGATTAAATTTATTTTCATATGTTAATTGGCTACTTGTGTTTCCTCTTTACATTTCCTATTCACATCATTTGCCCATTTAAACAATGGTGTTGTCTTTCTTATTGATTTGTAGGGATATTCTTTATATAATTAATAGTGACCATTTGTCTGTTGTATAAACTGCTTATATCTCTTAGTTATATGCCTTTTAATTTTGTTTATAATATATTTTGTCATAAGTCAATATTTCTATAGTCAAAGGTGTTCATCTTTTCTTTTATACCTTTTGGCTTTATGTCTTGCCTGTATTTTCTTTTAATGCTTACACAGATTTGAAATATTCAACTCTTTAATTCATCTGTAATTTATTTTTGCATAGGGTGTGATATAAGGATCTAAATTTTTAGCTCAAATGAAGAGCCAGTTGCCCCAACACAATTTATCAACTTTTCTATTGACTTTACTGCTCTTTCTAATATATTAATATTAGACACATATAAATGTGGGTCTGTTTCTGGACACAGTATTCTATTTCATATTTATTTGTTGGTTTATTCTGTGGCAATTCCATGAAAGGTTTCCTTCACTGCTTTTTCTCAGAAATTTTTAAATCCACTGCAAGTGAAACTATAAATTACTATCACCTGGACTTAGATCTTTAATAAGGGTTGAATTACTGATTACCTTTCTGGGATTGTCTAGGTTTAATGGTTTATTTGTAATTTTTGCTCATCTTGAGATAATTTTGGTAATTTGTTTGTCCTAGAAAACCATCCACTAAATACATTTTAAATAGTATAAAGTTGAACATAGTTTTCTCTTGTAACCGTTTCATATTCCTAATGCTGTTTATTTATGACTCCTGATTTCTTTGTATACCACTGTTTCTTGGGTTTCATAGCTTCTTTCTTAGATTCAGTTTTCATTTTTCAGAGCATATCTTTGATTAATTATTTTAGAGGAGATCTGTGGAATGCAACATTTCTCTGTTATTTTATTAGGCTTTCTTAGTCTTTTTTAGTCATTGACTGAAAATACATTTCCTCCCCTCTCTCTCCTGTCTTTCTCTATTTGTGCTCACACTTACATTCTAATTGGCCGGGTATAGAAATCTAGGTTCAAACTAAGTTCCACTACAAACTTGGATGACATTGTTCTCTCATCTTCTATCTCTATATAGAGATGCTCTATATGTAGC